CCACCTCCACCTCCACCTCCCCCTCCTCCTGTCCCCCCCACTACGCACACGCACACGCACACGCACACGCGCACACACGCACACACGCACACACACATACACACACACACACACTCGCGCGCACGCACGTACGCGCGCACGCACGCACGCACTCCAGACCATTCGCCCGTATCTGGAGCAATGCTGTCCGTTCCAATCCCCTCATCACGACTCCTCCCTCCCTGTGTCATCATCCTCGCCGTTTTGCCCGTCTCGTCTCCATCAATATTTGGTAGCTCGACTAATTGTTCTCCCCTCCTTGACGTCATCAACGCAATCACCCTCGATATCATCATCACCATCGCCACCATCATAATCGTAACCATCATCATAATTATCATGCTCGTCATCATCATCATCATCGGCAGCATCATCATCAGCATCATCAGCATCATCATTATCTTCATCCGTAGCCGTTTTGGCTCAAGCCATTTTGGCTCAAGTTGCTCGGCGCGCGCGGGGCCCCCTTGGCGGCGCGCTGTTGCTGCGTGGGCCCTCCCGCTGGCACAGTGGGCTGGCAGTCTGCCCCGTCAGGCCACCACGGCTGCTTCATCCACTTTGTACCGCCTCCCCACGTCGAGGTCGGCGCGGCTGCCCTCGTCGGGCTGGTCACGCGGCGCGTGCTGCTGCCATGCCTCGCGGTGGCGGGAGCGCAGAGCGTTCCAGGAGCCCGCGCAGGACCCCCGCGCCCAGGGGCGGTTCGGCTGCTGGCGCCGGCCTGGTGCGCGCGCCCCTCGAGGAGCACGACGAGGCCATGCTCAAACGGACCCCAAAACTGCTGGACGAGCCCGCCGCGGCTCCGCGCACGGCTCTTGGAGAGACTCCTCCACGCTGTGACGAAGCTTTGCAGCGGCGACTGCAGGAGTTGGAGCTACAACTCGATGAAGGCTGATCGCTCCGAAATCCACGACCTCCGCACCATCGTCGAGACGCGCGATCTCTCGTTGGGACGGCTGGCCGAGCACCTCGCCATCGCGGCAGGAAGGAGTGGCCCAGGGTATCGGAGTTCGACAAACCGGAAGATAAGCGCGACATCGGCCCCGGCATCATCCGCGTGCGGACCAGCGGCTATTCCGAGAAGGACGACGACGCCTGCAACGACCTCATCGTCGCCGCCGGCCGCAGCTCCACCATTCGCTTCACTGGTCCCGCTTCGGCCGCGCAGCGTATCGACGGGGAGTGGAAGCGCATCCCATGCCCGAACGCCGCAGGCACAGCCGACCGTGGCGTCCACCTGGGTCCAGACAAGTCCCCCTTTCAGGACCGGCTGGAAGCTCATGGCCGTCGCCTTGAACGAGCTGTTCAAGCTGTGTGCCCCGATCTTCGCGACCGCGTCCGGTGGGCCCGTGACATGGCGATCGCCAGCACTGACCAGCTCCCAGTTGTCCGTATCAGCGGTCCCGACCCCGACACACCGGCGGTGGAAGGTAGAAGTGCCCCCAGCCCAAGGTGCCACAAGGATTTCCAAGGAGACCCCCACGGCCTCCAGAGCACCCCTTTGCGAGGCCCAGGGGGCCCCAGGGGCTTCAGAATGGAGCAAAAAGCTGGGGGCACCTTGGGCCAGGGGCACCTTCAGCAACCCCCGAACATCGACACAGCTGCCGTCCGCACCGAGTTCGGGGAGATGTTGGCTCCGCGCGAAAGGCGGGTAGAGCAGGACGTGGGGCCCACCGGGTCTCTCGCCTGGCGGGGTGTTTGTTTCTTTTGGGAGGGGGGGGGAACGCTCAGGGCTTTCTGGCCTCCTGGCGAGAAGGCCGATCCCGCAACTTCGCCTACCTTCGCCCTGCCTGGCCTGGAGCGCTGCTTCCCGAGACACGATCACGTCGTAGCAAAAATCAGGACGGGAGGTTTTTGGCCATTTTCGGCCTCGGGGGGGCCCTCGCCGGGCCTTGGGACCGTCGAAAAGCGGCTCGGGATAAAAGAGGCCGGCCCCGGGCAGAGGGTCGGGACTTCCAGGGGCCCCGTCCTGAAAAAATTATCCTGGCGAAGGGCCCAACCATACGCAATTCCGAATGCCGCCGTTGTAAGTATCGTCGTTGGTGGAACACCCGATGGGGCCACGAAGCGTGTGAGAGGTGCGCCAAATGGAGGTGGAACTGCATGCGGACCCTGCCTCTGGGGCCTTCGGTGGAGCACCCTGTGGGGCCGCGAAACGTGTGAGGGGTGCGCCGAAATGGAGGTGGAACTGCATGCGGACCCTGCCATTGGCGCCCTCGGTGGAGCTCCCTATGGGGCCGCGAAACGTGTGAGGGGTGCGCCGAAATGGAGGTGGGACTGCATGCGGACCCTGCCACTTGGGCATTAGGCGGAGCTCTCTATGGGGCCACGAAACGTGTGAGGGGTGTGCCGAAATGGAGGTGGAACTGCATGCGGACCGTGCCACTTGGGCCTTAAGCGGGGCTCCCTATGACGCCACGAAACGTGTGAGGGGTGCGCCGAAATGGAAGTGGAACTGCATGCGGACCCTGCCACTTAGGCCTTAGGCGGAGCTCCCTATGGGGCCACGAAACGTGTGAGGAGTGCGCCGAAATGGAGGTGGAACCGCATGCGGACCCTGCCACTGGGGCCTCAGGTGGAGCTCCCTATGGGGCCACGAAGCGGGGGTGCGCCGAAATGGAGGTGGAACCGCATGCGGACCCTGACACTTGGGCCTTCGGTGGAGCTCCCTATGGGGCCACGAAACGTGTGAGGGGTGCGCCGAAATGGAGGTGGAACCGCATGCGGACGCTGACACTTGGGCCTTCGGTGGAGCTCCCTATGGGGCCACGAAACGTGTGAGGGGTGCGACGAAATGGAAGTGGAACCGCATGCGGACCCTGACACTGGGGCCTTCGGTGGAGCTCCCTATGGGGCCACGAAACGTGTGAGGGGTGCGCCGAAATGGAGGTGGAACTGCATGCGGACCCTGCCACTGGGGCCTTCGGTGGAGCACCCTATGGGCCCACGAAACGTGTGAGGGGTGCGCCGAAATGGAGGTGGAACTGCATGCGGACCCTGCCACTGGGGCCTTGGGCGGAGCACCCGATGGGTCCACGAATTGTGTGAGGGGTGCGCCGAAATGAGGTGGAACTGCATGCGGACCCTGCCACTGGGGCCTTGGGTGGAACACCATATGGGGCCACGACGAAACGTGTGAGGGTTGCGCCGAAATGGAGGTGGAACCGCATGCGGACCCTGACACTTGGGCCTTCGGTGGAGCTCCCTATGGGGCCACGAAACGTGTGAGGGGTGCGCCGAAATGGAGGTGGAACCGCATGCGGACCCTGACACTTGAGCCTTCGGTGGAGCTCCCTATGGGGCCACGGAACGTGTGAGGGGTGCGCCGAAATGGAGGTGGAACCGCATGCGGACCTTGCCACTGGGGCCTTCGGTGGAGCTCACTATGGGTCCACGAAACGTGTGGCCATGATGGAGACGGCGATGATGATGACGACGATGGTGATAAGAACGATGATGATGATGCTGATGATGACGGTGACTATGACGATGATATGATATTGATAATGTTATGATGATGATGATGATGATGATGATGATGATGATGATGATGATGATGATGATGATGATGATGATGATGATGATGATGATGATGATGATGATGATGATGATGATGATGATGATGATGATGATGATGATGATGATGATGATGATGAGAGGGAGGAGGGAGGAGGGGGAAGAGGAGGAGAGGAGAGGACGCGGGCACCGTCTCTTCAAAACGAGGACCCAACACCACAGGATGGTTGGGAATCAGGACGTCGCGCGTCTGGGTCCACATCTGTGGCACCGATGGCCCCTCAGGCTCCAGCGGGCTCGACATCCCTGCTGCGGAGGATGGGTTGGGCCCTCGGCGGAGCAGGAGGAGGAGGAGGAGGAGGAGGAGGAGGCGGAGGAGGAGGTGGAGGAGGAGGAGGAGGAGGAGGAGGAGGAGGAGGGGGAGGAGGAGGAGGAGGAGGAGGAGGAGGAGGAGGAGGAACTTACCTGCCTTGGCCCTTGCTGCGGCGCGGGGGTCTGCCGCCCGGCTGCCGCGGCTGGCTCTCGCTGGCTCCGCCCTCGGGCTGTCCACAGCCACGGCCTCCACCGGCAGGACCTCGCAAGCATCGAGGGGATCGCATCCCTGGACCCAGACCCCCTGGGGTAATGAAAAAATCACGACGGGAGGTTTTTCGCTATTTTCGGCCTCCGGGGGCCCTCACCGGGCCTCGGGACCGTCGAAAAACGACTCAGGATGAAAAACAGGTCCCGGGGAAGGGGTCCAGACCTCCAGGGGTCGACGTAATGAAAAAATCATGACGTCGGGCGTCTGGGGACATCGGCTGGGCGAACCACGCCCCGACCGAGCGTGTGGTCTGGTGCTGCGGCGACTGGGGCTGCGTGGATCCGCACGGCGTGACACGTGACGTCCAGGGCCTCTCTTTCTCGGGGGCGGCACCGACAAAGCCAACATGTCTCCACTTGGAAGCACATCCTCGGCAAGTGCACCATGTTCGACACCTCGGAAGCCACGCATTTCGCAGGTGGCACGCATTCGAAGCATGACCGGATTGAGACTACGGCGCCCTCCTGGTCCATCAGCTCCACGTGCTACCACTTGACGGTCCACGACGACCCGCAGAAGTTCCGCTACACGAAGATCAGCGGTCACGCCGCCGTAGCAGGCATGATCTGCCCACGCCCGCCGATACCATCACATCGGCAGATTCTCCCCAAGCGCATCGCCAAGCACCCGCTCTTCAAGACGTGCGACCGACCGCCTCGTCCGCGACCTGCGCGTCCGCGAGACGCCCTGGGCCACGCATTAGAGAATGCGATCCGCGAGGCGGCTCGTGCGGTCCGGAGCCATGTCCTCAACTGGCTCGCCGAGCCTTAAGACTGCACGTCGCATTACTATGAGCTCGCGGGCACGCGCGGCGCGGCGTCGCGCCTCGCGCCATGCCACAACCGCCCTGGCTCACTTCGAAGAGGGCCGCGACCTCGCCGCCGTCTCCGACGGGCAGGCGCGCCGGCTGGATGCGCGCCGTTTCGCGACGACCTTCGACCGCCTCGAGCACGCGAGGCTGGAGTGGGAGGCCTCCGAGGCTATCTCTGCGGCCGCCGGCGCCCTGGCTTCGGCGCGCGCCGCGCGGAAGCTGAGGGGGAGGGCCGGGGTGCTCCAGGCGCGGGCTCAACCGCTTCAGCCCGATCGGCAACTTCATGGCCTTGGAAGGCCCATCGATTCCGAACCCGCTCGGCGGCTACATGGCGGCGTCGCCGCCACCGAGGGCAGATCGGGTGCAGTCGCTACTGCGTGGGCGTCGCACTCCGACGCGAAGCCAAATGACATCCACGGCGCCCGCCGCTACCTGCGCGACTGGGCTGTGGGCGATTGGACCTCAAGGCATCGACCTTCAGGCAGATCTGGAGTGACCAACGTGAATCGCATGACGACCAACAGCACCTCCTGCGAGACCTACGTGAGCAAGCATTGCAAACCACTGCCACACAGTGGACAGTGGACCAGTTCGACGCTGCGATCACAGGCCTACCCGACCGAGGTAAAGGCACAGACAGACTGAACACAAGTGACGCACGCAGACTACCGCGAGCTGGCAGAGCAGCGCTTACAGATCTTCTCAATGAAATTGAAGAGACAGTCGCATGGCCGTGGCAAACCATGCAGTCTATAGTTATGTTGCAGCCCAAGCCCTCCACCAACAAAGGAGACTCAGCAGTTGCAGGTGGAGGAGACAGAGCGCTGGCATTATTACCGTGGCTAGGACGGACATGGGAGCTAATGCGTCGAGACCGAGTTCGAACCTGGGCCAAAGATGTAGAGGAACCGTGGGACGCAGCAGTCGCAGGCAACAGCTGCCTACGAGAGGCAATGATCCGAGCCCTGGGAGATGAGGTAGCACAGGCATTCTCCATCCATACCGCGATTGCGCTCCTGGACATCAAGAGGTTCTACGACTCGCTGAACTTCCAGAGGATCGCCCGAGCAGCAGCGGAGTTTGGATTTCCTGTACGAATGCTGGCCTTCTCACTACAGCTACACCTCACACCGAGATTCTTGAGATTGGAAAACTGCTACAGTCTATTTTTATACGCGGACAAATCCTTACTAGCAGGAGCACGCCACTCGAACAACCTTGCGCGGGCCCTAGTATATATCGTCATGAGACAGTATAGCAGCCGCATCACGAAAACCCAGCCAAGGACGTGGTTCGATGACATCGGGGTACAGACATTCGGCACAGAGGAGGCCATCAAGCAGATCACCATCGACTCCACAATCGTCCTGCACGATGAGCTTAAGAAGCAAGGACTAGACATAGCGGCTAAGTCGGTGATCGTGACTAGCGACCCTGCCACTACCAAGCAGATCGTCGAAGCCCTCAGCAGCTACAGCATCCAGATCGACCGCGACACAGAAGGCAGAGACCTGGGAGTTGACAGAGCGGGTAGGACATGTACTAGCAGGAGGACGCATCTCAAAAGGAAGAAGAAAGCTTGGAGTCGCATGGCACTTGTTGGGAGAAAATTCCGCAAAGTCCAGAGACGACGAGTACGAGGGCTACTGCAACAAGGTGCAATGGCTTCAATTATATACGGATCTAAATATATGGAGCTTCACCGAACGAGAGGCTGCTTACGCGACGACGCTATGCCAAGGCGTTGCGACGTGCATGGCCAGGCAGATGCTTGACATCCTTGATCGCGATTGAAGGCACGGACCCCGAGGTTACCACGGTGAGAACGCAGTTGGAAGCTTGGTTCGATCTATGGGCTTCAGGGGATGGAGTCCAGAACCGCATCAAGAGAGCCTGGAAGATAGTGAAGTCCAAGCTGCAGAACACCGAGAAGCGCAAGGGGTGGCAAGTACAACGGGGAATCATGGGCTCGCTTATCTTTACACTTTGGGAGCTAGACTGGAACCCGATAGAAGCCGACAGGTGGATCGACCCAACACGTGACGAATGGCAGCTCAAACATGAGGGTGCGGACGGCGACCCCGCTGAGGCCATCGACACGTTCGTATCGCAAGTGGGGCTAAGACAATGGAAAGCTGCCGTCGAGCACCATAACGGCAGCGGTCTCGAACATGGAGCCGACCTCGAGGACCTCATCCGACACCTGCGCGGCTAGGAGAAGAAAGGCAACCATCAAAGGCATGGCGCAGTCCTCACAGCAGCGTGCGCAGGGACGTGGACTCAGAAACGTAATGCGGACGCATGCGGCACCAGCGAGCTCTGCGACTGCGGAGCCATAGAGGACGACTACCACCGCACCTGGGGAAACTGCCCATGCAGGAAGGAACGCGTCATCTACCACAAAACGGACCATCTAAAAGACAGAGCTTAAGAGGGCCTAGCTACACATTCTGCACGTTGGCTACGAAGTATCACGCCGAAACCCATGACCTGTCAACCCCCGTGTGACACTGACCCCGCGGACATCAAGGAAAACATGGCAGAAGGAATCATCCGTGCAGGACCCGACCACCCACTGCAATTCTGTGGCGACGGCAGCGGAGGCGCAATATCAAGCGACAGAAGACACCGTCGATGCGGATGGGGATGGGTGCAGATGGTGGGAGAACAAGTTGCAGCAGGCAGCTAGAGGACCGCTACCTGGACCGAGGCAAACATACAAAAGAGCTGAGCTCTGGGCTCTGCTACACATCCTACAACGTTCCACTGGTAGGATCATTTATTGGACAGATTCTGCAGTACTTTGCCGCGGACGGTATAATCAGATATTCTATGCAAAGAGGCACTCAAAGGGATAGGGAGATATTTGGAGAAGGATCGAACAAGCTATCCAGCAGCGGGGTGGAGACCACAATGACATCATGATCAAACATATGCGCAGCCACCTCAGCCTGGAGGAATCGCTTGAGCGGCAGGTACCAAAGTGGGCATGGATTGGTAACCGAGGGGCTGACCACCGCGCTGACCTTGCAGCGGAGGAGCATGCTATCCCAGCAGCACAACTCAGCTGCCACGAATGGGTTAGAGCAGTTGGCCAGCTAGTACGACAGCGTATCACCCAAGCTACTATGGACGCAATGGGGCGAAAGCCGCCAATGACTTGGGAGGACCGCCATCAGTTACGAAACGAGGCAAAGCTGAGCAAACCGCCAGAACCACCCCTGGACCAGCTAGCAGGCAGCAGCAAGCACATATTGGAAACGACTACAACTGGTTGGAAATGTTTACCCCGCGCACAATCCACGGTCCCACGTAGGAAGCGGATGGCAAGATGGTGGTTGCAATCGGATTGCTCGGCCACTCAGATTTGCCCTAGCGTGCCAGGTCTATTCTCACTCAAAGGCAGATGCGCACACATGTCTCACTATACTGAATGGAGCAGAAAGGAACAGGGCCACTTCTGTTGGAATTGCGGGGCGTTGGCCAAGCACTACGTCAGCGAGAAATTGGCGGGCGAGTGCAACCCCCCAGCGGAGAAGACCAATGGCCACTACGTAGTGAGAGCCCTCAGGAAGCATGCATGATTGGAATGTCGTGATTATTCTTGTTGGTTGACAGCGACAGCAGTGACATGCCATTCCCGAGGGGGTAGACCCGTAGAGCCCATACGGGTGCCCACGATGGCTTAAATGCGACGGAGCGTGTATCCCCATCGGGCCCCCATCTTCTTATTGTGTTGAGTTCCATGGATCTTGGACATACTTTCTTGTATTGAGTTCTTGACTGTATGATGATTATGCAATGTTATCGAACAAGGCATTCGACTTTTCACTGCATGAATTTCGAGGTAGTTGAGTTCGTGCCACGCATCGACATGATCGACGCAGCACCTACGCAGCACATGCGCTATATTCTTCGCGCTGCGCGCGACCAATCGAAGTCACCATGCCGCAGAGGTGTGAGATTCTCAGTTCTGGTTGATTGTTTCGTGCGTCGCACTCGTCATATACAAATATTCCCACACGCTGCGCGTGGCCTGACAATCGCTTGCAAGTTAATAGGTGCCGTCGTAATTGCCTCATTTTGGCCATGTGTGTATGACTGTTGTGGTTGAGTTCGTGCTCCGCTTCGGCATGGTCGACGCAGCACCGCGCAGCACCCACGCAGCACCTACGCCAGCACTTACGCAGCACTACGCCAGCATCTGTCATTCTTGTGTTGCGTACTATATTCAGAGCGCTACGCGCGACCTAAGATCCTTAGAAGAGTCAAAGTTGGGACAACTCACTTATATTCCGCACGCTACGCGTGACAGGACTATCGCTCACAGTCATTGCCGTTGATGTCTCTCGCTTTCACTGTGTGAATTTGTTGTTGTTGAGTTCGTGCACCGCTTCGAGAAGATCGACGCAGCACCCGCGCAGCACCTACGCCAGCACCGACGCAGCACGCTTGCATTTGAGATTTCACTTGTTGAGCACGTGCTTTCTTTGATCGGAAATGATATCCTGCGCTCCGCGCGACTTATAGTTCTTTCGATAGAGGTACACAGGAGATTTGATGTCTAATCCTTTGTGTGTGAACAGGTGTTCTCGAAGTTGAGTTCGTGCTCCGCTACGACTCGATCGACGTTGCACTACGCAGCACCTACGCAGCACCTACGCCAGCACCTTCGGTCTATAACCAACACGCTTCGCGTGCATGGCGTTCGAGGAAAAGGCGTGGGAGCCTGGTGAATGAGACCTAACCTGCCTGTGTGTACTTGAGCTCGTGGCGAGCGAGATGTCGTCGCCGCCGTTTATTCAGCACGCTTCGCGTGGCACTGGATTTGTGTGTGGCCCACGCTCTCTCAGCGTGGGGCCTGTCGTTTGTTGCGTTCACGCCGCCTGCCGCGGCCGTCGCAGCAATGATCTGCTGGTGTGGCTGCGACGCGGGCCGTTGCCCGACTCGGACACGAATGTCTGGGTCTGCGGGCCGCGAGTGGCCTATTGCAGGTTGCCCGCGCCCGCCGTCGCCGCCCTGCCCCCCCCCCCCCGCTCTTGCCCCTCCCCTCCCTAGTTCGTCGGCCTGTAGGAAACCCTGGGAACAAATCCTCCTCCTTCTCCTCCTCCCATTCCTTCTCCTCCTCCCCCACTTCCTCCTCCTCCTCCTCCTCCTCCTCCTCCTCGGAGGAGGAGGAGGAGAACGGGGGCGCCCTAGCTGCCTCAAGAGGGTCGCTGGCTCGGGCCCTGGGCCCGAGGGACTGGCCTGCGCGTTCTGGGCGGCCGACGTGCACGGCGCAGCCGCGCTCTTCGAAGTGGCTGACCACCTCGCCTCCTCCTCCTCCTCCTCCTCCTCCTCCTCCTCCTCCTCCTCCCTCAGCCCTCCCTCCTCCTCCTCCTCCTCTCCCTTTCCTCCTCCCCGTCCTCCTCCCCCTCCTCCTCCTCCCCCTCCTCCTCCTCCACCTCCTCCTCCCCCTCCTCCTCCTCTTCCTCCTGGCGTTCCACGCGTCGGAGTCTGTCTTCCCTCCGAAGGGACGCTCGCGCCGTCGCGCGCCGCCCCGAGAACACGACGCCTCCGAGCACGAAGAACGCCGACAACCAAACTATCTGCGTAGCGCGCAACGCTCGCATCCTCCACATCGGCACGCGTGGCACGCAGACAGAGCGGGTTCGCTGCTGGGCGTCGGCTCGCGCAAAACATCGTCGACCTGGATGCTGCTGCGCGTGTTTTCGGACACCGAGATCTGGCGTCCTCCGCGCCTGTCTTGGCCTTCTGGGACGTCGCGGCCGCCTTTCCCATCGCTGCAGCACGTCTGGATTTGGCTGGTCCTCGAGGCCGTCGGCATTCCCCGCGGTCTCCTCATGTTGTCCCAGCAGATGTATTGGCTCAACGCCGGCTCCATCTCTGGAGAGTTTGCGCATTTTCCGATGGAGACAGCTTGCAGTGCAGGGCTGCCCTCTCAGCGGCTTCGTGTCCGCCGTGCCCACCCACCCTTTCGTCCTGCACCTGCAGCGGGAAATCGACGGGTCGGGCGTCGCGGTCACTCGCGAGTGCGCTGACAACCTTTGCGGTGACCTCAAGGAGACCTCAGCCCTGCAGGCTCTACCATTCGATGTTCGCCCTCGTAGAGAAAGTTGCGGGCTTCTTCTTGAAGCCAGAGAGACCCAGACATGCGACGTCCTGATTGTTTCAGGACTGGGTCCCTGGAAGGCCCAGCGAGGGCCCCCTGAGGCCGAAATTTGCAAACAATATGCCGTCCTGATCTTTTTGTTACGACGCGATCTTGTCTGGGCCACGGACTCAAGCCTTCTCAGACCTTCATGAGGTCCTTGCCCTCACTCGCGGCAGGGCTCAGCACGACCAGCGATTGAACGAACTTCCTCGGCTTCTTGCCGAGGCTGCTCTGCGACTGCTGCACTGAGCCGGCCGGCGATGGTTGCGACATGCGACATTGCTTCGCCCCGTGGGCCTTCACCTCTCTTCTTCCCACCGCCGTTACCGACATCATCACCAACATCAGCATCATCATCATCATCATCATCATCATCATCATCATCATCATCATCATCATAATCATCATCACAATCACCATCATCATCAGCATCATCATCGTTATTATCATCCTCATCCTCATCATCAGCATCTTCGTGTTCATCTTCATCTGCATTATCATCAAAATCGTCGTCGCCATCATCGTCAACCTCATAATTTCCATCGCCATCATCATTATCACGCCTTTCGTGCTCTCACCCGCATTACTCTACGTTCGTTCTCCTTCCCCTCAATGCTTCCTTTCTTTTTCTTCAATGCGGCGCGTCTTCGCCACTCCTAGTCTCTACTTATCAATTGTCCTCATCATCCTGCTCCGTTCCGTCGTCCTGCTCATCATCACTTCTCGCCCCCCCCCCCCTCGCCCCCCTTCGTCACCCTTACTTGCTCCTCCAGGATCCGCCCCCGAGCCCTCCTCAGCTTCACCGCCTCCTTTTTCGCCGTCGCTATCGTTGCTCTTCGGTGCCCTCCCTCTTCACTGTTCCACATCCTTTATGCGTGTCCTGATCGCTCTTACCCTCCTGCCCAATGTCTTCGTCCTTGTCTTCTGATCCCCAGCATCCCTCCGCATCGCCATGATCAACGATCTTCCTCTCCCCCACCCTCCTGTTTCAATGCCCTGTTCCATCCTCGTCGCCGCGTCTCCCCACTCCTCGCTCCAGGTCCTCGCTAGTCCTCCGCCTCTTTGTCTCTGTCCCCCCCAAAAGATGCTCTCCCCGTTTTCACCCCACTGTGTCGCCTCAATCCTCCTTCTTACCCCCTCCCCCTTCTCCTTCACCACCAACTCGCCTCTTCCCAATCATTTCCGCGCTTCCTTTTTGCAACATAGAGATGCAGCTCCAGCGGCTGCGCCCTGCATCCTCCTCGCCTCCCTCTGCATCAAAACTAAAAGTGCTATCTCGAATAAGTTGTCGGTTGTACCTCAACTTTACACAACATTATTCTGACATGCGCTAACTTTGTTTACCTTCCTCTAGCGAACGTTTGCTGGACGGCTCGGCGGGCTTGGGCGCGCGTTGGCGTGCGCTGCGGGGGCTGAGGCATGATAGGCAATGTTAGAATTTAGCTCAGCTACGTTAAACCATTGTAACGCGTTAGCCTGTTTAGATACTGCCTTGTATAGTTTAGCAGTGGACCTGTTCAAGCAAGTGGGGGGGCTCCTAAGAACCTGTGCCCAGGGGCTCAGGGAGGGTGCCCAGGGGTGGGTTTCATTATTCGGGGCGAGCGCTGGGGAGTTTGGTACCGGGCGAGGAGTTGTTGGTGGGGGTGCTTGAACAATCCCAGAGGGTGGGGGAGCCCAAGAACATAGTTTCTTGATCCCTGAGGGTCGGGATACTGGAGCAGGCGAAGCGGATAGTAGAGCGTATGAGCGGGCATCGTTTCCGGCTAGGCAAGATACCGCACACGCCTTCGGGGTCGGCGGATGTCCTTTCCAATTTCATGGTTGATGTCTCATTTAGTCGGTTGCTGGAATTTGCAAAGTTGTTGCAAATGATGATCTTCCTTCACCAGTGGGGAAGCGGGGAAGAGCGAGGCGTAGGGCTCGTGCGTAGTTGTTCGCATGGGGCACTAATACCTCGAAAAATGGCGCACGTATAAATATGCTGAGTTACTTTCCTGGCGCAGGATCGCTCGCACCCTGGCATCTCGATCTTGCAGTTTTGCGTCCGAGGCGGCAGTATGGTGACTTTGATGAGTTGTCTAGGGGATGAGAGATCTTGGCGGATGCTTTAGGGGGGGGGGCGGTTCCGACAAGTCCAGGAAATCGTTCCAAGCAAGCGTCCACGAGGCGCGATCTCTCGAATCATTTTGCGCCTGTCCTCTCCCCTCCTCCTCCTCCTCCTCCTCCTCCTCCTCCTCCTCCTCCTCCTCCTCCTCCTAGGCGCGCCTGCTGGGGCCCTGGCATGTTTTAAGCTTATCGTTGCCTCGCATTGCAATGCAGACGGTCATAGCCAAGCCCACGAATGGTGACACGGTGACTGTCTCTCGCTCGTGTTTCTCTACCTCTCGCTTTCTGCGCGCACAAAGTATTCCCAAACAGACGCAGCTCCTGCAGCACAATTCATGAACAACTGGCACTCGGAACCCGACGCAGTTACTGCAGCGAAGTGTCTGGAGCGCTGCACATCTCCACCAGACCTTCGATTGACGAGCTCTTGTTGGAAACTTTCTTGCAGGACCGCGAAAAGGAGCTGTCATTGTAGGATCGTTTGGCAGCAGCAGCCCTATCTGTGCATTGCGACTCGAGCTCTGGCGACTTTGTTTGCCTGGTACGGGCTCTTGTCAGGGACGCCAGTCGAGAGGTCTTGCAGCGCAGGAAATCCCACCAGACTTCCGATTGGCGAGTCCTTGCTGGAAGCATCCTTGCAGGACCTCGAAAAGGAGCCGTCATTGCAGGATCGCCAGGCAGCAGCAGCCTTGTTTGTGCATTGCGACTCGCACTTGGGCGAACTTGCTTGCCCGATGCGCGCCCTGGCCGGGGACGCCGGTCGAGAGGCCATGGCGAGAGGGAGGCGGGAATGGAGGTAGGGTGGCTGGTGGTGGGGCGCGGTGAGGGGTTAGGAGGAGCCCCAGACATGCGACGTCCCGTTTTTTTCAGTACTGGGTTCCCAGATGTCCCGACCTTTTGTCCCCGGGACCGGTTTTTCAACTCGAGTCGTTTCTTTACGGTCCCCAGGCCCGGCGAGGGCCCCACCCAGGCCGAAGTTGGCCACAAACCTCCCGTCCTGATGTTTGTTACGACGCGATCCTGTCCGGGTATGGTGGTGAGGGGTTAGGAGGAGGAGGAGGAGGAGGAGGAGGAGGAGGAGGACGAGGAGGAGGAGGAGGGGGGAGGGGGGGAGGAAGGAGAGGAGGAGGAGGAGGAGGAGGAGGAGTTAGTGGAGGAAGACGAGGAGGAGGAGGAGAGGAGGGAGGAGGAGGAGGAGGAGGAGGAGGAGGAGTATGTGTGGAGACCTGTGCGGGCACGGCCCCGACCCCCGCACCGGCCGCACTTGTGCCTCCGGGCCCATGGCAGACAGGTTCATGGCCGCCGACCGTGCGGAGATCCCGACATAGGGACGGTGACAGTTCGAAGTGGATGGCGCCAGCAGCGAGGGGGAGAAGCAGGAGGAGGAGGAGGAGGAGGAGGGAGGAGGAGGAGGAGAGGAGGAGGGGAGGGGAGGAGGAGGGGGAGGGAGGAGGAGGGGGAGGAGGAGGAGGAGGCGGAGGAGGAGGAGGGGGGAGAGGAGGAGGAGGAGGAGGAGGGAGGAGGAGGAGGAAAGAGGAGGAGGAGGAGGAAGAGGGGAGGGAGGAGGAGGAGGGAGAAGGAGGAGGAGGAGGTGGAGAGAAGGAAGGGCGTGTGAGCGGGGGAGGAGGAGGAGGAGGAGGAGGGAGGAGGAGGAGGAGGAGGAGGAGGAGGTGGAGGAGGAGGAGGAGGAGGAGGAGGAGGAAGTGGAGGTGGAGGTGGAGGAGGAGGAGGGTGAGGAGGAGGAGTTAGGCGGGGGAGGAGGAGGTGGACGTGGAGGAGGAGGAGGAGGAGGGAGGAGGGGAGGTGGAGGCAGAAGCCATGTTGGCTTTCAATGCCAATCCATCCGGTTTCTCCCCCTTCCGTGGGGGGCGGGCCTCTGTGCGGGGATGGCCTCACGGGCGCACGGCCCGGGCCAGAGGGCTGGACCAGAGGGCTGGACCTCCAGGCACTCGGGGACAGCCCTCATCCTCCCCCTCACCCTCCTCCCTCCTCTCCTCCTTCTCCTTCCTCCTCCTCCTACCCCCGTCTCCTCCCCCTCCTCCTCCTCCTCCTCCTCCTCCTTCTCCCGCTCGCTGCTGGTTCATCCCACTTCGAACGGTCACCGTCCTCTCTGTCGGGATCTCCAGGCACGGTCGGCGGCCATGGACCTGTCTGACATGGGCACGCAGGCACAGCGGCCGGTGCGGGGGTCGGAGGCCGTGCCCGCACAGGTCGCCACACGGCTGCCTCCTCCGGCCCCTCCTCCTCCTCCTCACCCGCCTCCTCCTCATTTCCTGTCCTCCCTCCTCTCCTCCTCCTCCTTCCTCCTCCCTCTCCTCCTCCCCCGCTGCCCCTTCCCCTCCTCCCTCCTCCTCCTCCTCCTCCCTCCTGCCTCCTCCTCCTCCTCCTCTCCCTTCCTCCCTCCTCCTCCTCCTCCTCCTCCTCCTCCTCCCCCTCATCCTCTCCTCCTACTCTCCTCCTACTCCTCCTCCTCCTCCTCATCCTCCTCCTCTCCTCTCATCTCCCGCCCGCTCCCCTCCTCTCCTCCTCATCCCCTCCTACTCCTCCTCCCGTCCTCCTCCCTCCTCCTAACCCTCACCCCATACCCGGACAGGATCTCGTCGTAACAAAACATCCGGGCGGGGTCGTAACAAACATCCGGGCGGCAGGTTGGTGGCCAACTTCGGCCTTGGGGGGCCCCTCGCCGGGCCTGGGGACCGTCAAAAAACGACTTGGGTTGAAAAACCGGTCCCGGGGAAAGGGTCGGGACTCCCGTGGACCCCGTACTGAAAAAAATCAGGACGTCGCATGTCTGGGCTTCGCTCCAGGCCTCCCAGATTTG